TGTTTTAAGACATGATGATAGTGGTGAACTTCTTTGGTGTGAAAATCTGTCAATATTTTGCATCCTAGATGACCATTTTTGAAGAATACAATAAGAAGAAGATACTTAATAGACATCAAATTCAGATAGACAAATAATTATATGTTATTCAACTTCAATGAATTGAAATCTTTTATTTAGTATGTCAATTTTATACTTATATAGTTTTGAATCATTTTCGCTTATATTTTTATATAGACTCAATTTAATAACTTTTTACAGGCAACATCATCGATTATTGTTACCCAAAATCTCAAATGAAATTAAAACTTAATTTTTTTAATTACAAGGTGAACAATCTATCATATATTTTAAAACGCATGTAAGTATTTAATAATTTACAACTCATAAAAAAATATTTAACTATGTTTTGACCTAGACCATTAATGGTCATTAATTAACTTTAAACGAGTTTTCAATAAGGAAGGCACTGCTAGTAGACTAAAATTCCTATCTTTAGGTCGTGAAAGAGAGATTTAGTATTATTATGGGTATTTTATCAATGTATCTGTCTTTGATACCAAACTATTATGATGGTAGAAAGACATGTAATAGTGGGTGGAGTTTGTGTAAAAGGGTTTAACTTCAAATTATTTTGAAGTTAATTATTATGATAAGTTGCTAGAGGTTATTGAATCACGATATCATAATGAGCAAGATACATTTATTTTATTCAAGTTTTATCGTATGATATCGATAGACAAATTAGAGTAGATCTTTATCATGGTACGTTTGAAATAAATAAATAAAAGGTTGACATTGCAACATTAACAATGTTTTTATTTTCTTTTTACCCCTTATTCAAAAAAAATCATCTATATTTGGTCATAAAAGCTCAAAAAACCATAAAATGACAATAAAAATTTGTTGGTTTTACTCTTTAAAAAACAAACAAAACTCATTGGTTTAAACCAATTTTTTATTTTATATATATATATATATATATATTAGTTTAATTGGTTTTTTAATTAAAAACTGAACTGGACTAAAAATTCTCACTACTACTTCAGCCTTTCAAATGTATTTGTTCATATTGTTGTCTATTATATATCACAATCCCAATCTTTACATCTTCACATTAAGTTCCTACGTGTGAAAAATATTTTTGAAAAAAAAAATATTTTTTCAAATTTATTTGTTATTTTAATATACGAATATAAAAAATTAATTAAATCTTAATTAAATACTGTCAAAGCTTAAGTAAATATGCGTTGGTAAGTATGTTTTATCTTGCCCGCCATCAGAACAAAGCTGTGTACATGATTCAAGTCGGAAAGAAGAAAACGAGCATAGGCTGCACACATTTTCACAGTTGCTATCAAGAAATAAGTTTCCAATAAGAAAATAAAAAAGGAAAAAAGAATAGAGCTTTTATAAAACGAATACGGTGTGTATAAGGATAGTATGAAGTTCTAAAAGAATAGTGGTAATCCGAAAGGAATATTTCCTTTACTGGATACTAGAGTAATTGGTATGCTATTCATGATAGGTCATATCAATTTCTTTAAAATATAAAAAGAATTATATTTTCATTTTTTATTTGAAAATAAAGTTTTGATTATGGGCTCCAAATTTTACCTATATAAAGTGAATATCTTTTGAATAAATATAGAGATGATGATATGTTTTATTAACTTTAATTAATTAGAGTTAATTTGTGAAACTAGTCATTCGAGTCATGAATTTAATGTAAATTAATGTAGATTTTAGAAATATTTTTTATTTAATTATATAAAAATTAAAATATAAGCTATGAGAAAAACTATTGGATGATGATGATGATGATGGGTTCTTAAAAAAAATTGTTAATATTATAAAAAGACTCTTATACTTTATTAAAATGATATTAAATAAAATATAATCTAAATTATTTTTCTAATTAATTTAATACTTAAAAAAATCTAAAATAATTAGAGTCTGACTTGGAATAAAAAGCCTAGGCATATCTAGGCCTTGAAACCCAGACCTATACTTTTCTTTCTTTTTTTTTTAGGAGTGGATGACATACACTTTTAACTTTTCTTAATTAACCAGATGATAAGTTGTCTGAGGCAATAAGTAATTTGTTATCTACTATTTCTAAAATTTGATCATTGTTGTGTGGGTTAAAAAATTAAAGAGATGAGTTATTTGGTCTAAATTAGGATTATTAATTACTAAGATACCAAATAGTGATTCTATATTTTTTTTTACTTATAAGAAATAAGAATTTTTTATTTTTTCTATTGATCACTAGAAAATCTCGATTCGGGAAGACAATCATTGTGACACTACACATAGACGACAATATGCATCAATGTATACAAATTGCTTTTCATATAAACTTGTTAAAACAATCAAAACAAAAAGGATACATATACCATACAAGATTCTAAAATTACATGCATGGACATACAAGATTCTAAAATTACATGCATGGACTGAAAAAAACAAAGGATAAAGTTTTAAGATCATAAACCAAAATAATTAGACAAATAAGCACAGATGTTTAGTTTGTCACTAGATTAGGGCTCTTGCATTACTGGCTCGCCCTATGTTTCTAGTAAAATATTTAGATATATAAATAAAAAAAAGTTTTTAATGATAAATAAAAATGAAATTGAAAAGATTGAGAAAAAAAATATATCAAAATATTTAATATCGCAATACGAGTTATTTATCTAGTTGTATTTACTGAATATGTTTATTAAAATTAATTTATAATAGAAATCAACACACATATAAAATTCATTTAATAAAATAAAAAGAGAAACAATATTATGCAAGACTGAACATATTAATCATATTAAAAAAATTATATATTTTTTTTAAATAAAATTAATCTATATAAAATATAAAAACAATTTTACAAACTAACATATAAAAACATAAACACATTCAAAATAATTAAAACAATTGCTATTTAAAAAAAATACTAGGTAAGAAAAAAATTATAGAGAAGGGGGTATTAATTAAAATTAATTAAAATATAAACTTATAAATTATTATTATTATTATGGTATAAATTAAGAAAATCTAAATTAAAAAAAAAAGAGCTAAGGGTTGTTTGGTTTAATAAGCCAAGTCAAATGCTCGACCTATTAAGAAAAAGCTAGTGTGCAATCCTGCAAGGTCAGGTCTACGCACATGGGTTTTTAATTATGTTTTTAAGTCGTCAAGAGTTTCCTAAATTCCAATCATTATGGTAACTATAAAAATAGGGTTTTTATTTTTTTTTCATCTAAAAACTCATTTGCAATCTATTTTTTACCGCAAAAACCTGAAGAACACTGCAAATCTTGTAAAACCAATCAATGACCTCTAAAAAAATAAAAAATAAAAATATATCAAAACCCAAAATTAACCTAAAATTAAAAATTTTTCTGAGCTCAAATATTTTTTTTAGACACTTTGAAGGGGGAGAATCTAATTTAAACTCTGGTTATTGTATGGAACCATTTGACATAAAAATATAGTATTTTGGTGATCGAAATCATCACCAGTTATAATTTTCTCCTTCTACTCCAAAATTCGGCAAGCCCTTCTCTTCTTCCAAAACTAGAAAGTGAGAAAATAAGGTTTGGTACCTAAATTGAATTCTTAGAAATTAAAAGAACCAATTACCTAATAGCTAAAAAAAATAGGGGGCTAAATTGAACTTTTCAAAGAAATCTCAAAGCCACCACCTATTTTATCCTTTTTTTTTTCTTTTCAATTCTTTGTCTTTCAATTCAACTCTCCCTACCAAAATAATATGCTATTGAAAATATGCTATTGAGTGCTAATTTAGATTCAAAATAGCTCACTTATATAAAGTAAAAATATAAAGATCAAATTAAAAATTAAAAAGAAATGCATTACTCTAGTCCACAACACCCTCTTTCATTTTAGTATATTTGTTATAACAAAAGCATTCTGAATATATTAGATGTTCAAAGAAAGTATACTGTTCATACATTTTGAAACTATAAACATGTAATTTCATAAATCATAGCAAACTTGTAAACAATATTAAAAATATACAAAGATCATAGCATACATACTAAGTATATATCTAAAGACACAAAAGATACTTAAAAAATAATCATAACATACATATTAATGTACTAAATTAAACAAAACCGAAGAAAAATATTTACATGTTGAAGTGCTTTGATGAAGCTTTGCTATTTTCAAGGATGTATCCTTGATACTTGAGACTTTATTGCTTGTTATTTGATGCTAAAGATGTTTGCAATAAGATTTATAAAATTCTAATAACACCATATTATTTAGATACACTTTTTTAAAGACTTATTAGCAAAGTTTATGAATCAAAAGTACTATAACTCAAGTTTATTTTAAAAATAAAAAATCTAAGCTTAAAATGAAGCCAAAAAAAGAAAAAAACACTAAAAATATAAAAATATAAGGCGAGAAGAAGTCTAAATATTTCATTAAAAACAATGCAGAAAATTCTTTATTAACCCTTTTCTTACAGTAAAATTTAAAACATCAATGATAGAATTATTTTAATAATTACCAAAATTAATTTCCATCATTACCAGCCTTAATTACCTATCATAAAACAATAATTAAACTTGAGATTTTTGGCTTTAAATACATGTTTTTTTGGCTAAACAAATTAGATGTTGAATCTTTAATATCTTGAGTTTTTAGATGGGCAAGATAAACTGCTATGATGGACTCTCCCATCAGGGAGACCTTCAAAAGTCACCTTTTTGTTCCTTTTTTTCCATAAAAATTAAAACTTTCACAAGTTTTCCTAAAATAATAAGGAATGCCACCTCTGTAAACTTCCCACAGAGATTAGTTTGCGTGATGTACTCAATCTTAATGGTCATGTTTCCCATAGCACTATGGATTTTAGGATGATACCAGTTTGAAGGTAGTTCAGGATGATTTTATTTGACCACTAACCAGAGAATGCGAACGGTCAACTTTTTTTTCCTTGACAATTTCTCACCCCATCCAGGTCGTTTCAGGTAACAGTAGGATTATAATTATGGATAAAACGACAAATAAAACACCAAGCATAAGCTGCTGCCACGTCGTTTATTACAAACGTAAAGTCTTTCTAGCGTTGTCCTAAATTTTGGAGGGCAACGATTTAAAACTAAAAGGCACCCATCATTCACGTGGAAAACAAATATTTACCGACTCCGTTGAGGTGGCAACTCCACTGCAGCCCATTTGTCATCGCTGATGGGCAACACGGTGCTGCCTGCAGGATATGTCATTTCGGTCCCACTTGGATGAATCAGAACCCTAATCCCTCGGACCATAAACTCGATACCTGAGCTAGTGGCTAAATTAGTGGGGGAATTAGAAGGCAAAGAAGATGAAGTCAAGTCATGTTTAGGCGAGGAAGAGATGGCTGCGGCAGGTGAAGGTGTACTGCTTGCCATAGCTGAACAACTGTCTTGCCCTGGAGATGCAATGGAGGGATTATGATTGCTAACTACAGAATTTGCTGCCAGCAATTCAAGAGCTAAATGTTATGAGATATGGATGCCATTAAGATATCATGCAAGCATGAATCGCAATTTTGCCTATGAGAGAAGAAAAAAAAAATACTTTATAAGGAACATGGATGGAAATTTTTGAGTTCATATTATATCACAGTTAAAGCTTCTACCTCGAGGTAGGTTTTATTCACGTCGAATCATCTAAAATAGCATGAAGACGCAAAGCTTGAGTTACTCTCTATCCTGGCTTACCGACTTGTACTCTAAGATACTAAAAAACGTTTGAATATCTGTGCACTATGTTATATGTTGTCATATGAATGCACACATCTGCCATGGATATGCATAAATACATAAAATAAACTAATTAAGCACCGTTCAACGTCATCAGAAATCTATAGGTCACAGTTGAAGTAGATTCTTATATTGAACAAATTCTCTGGTTAGAATCAACGTAGATTGTGCAAATGAAAAGGCTTAGCTTCAACCTGGTCAAGAGACTTGACAGGTCTGAAAATTTATCACCACCTACAAACGCATCTGCTTATTGTGCCCCTCCAAATCAAATATCTGAAAAATCTAGTCACCAATCTAGATGCTTTCAGATTTCAATTTCCACCATATGTTGGCAGAAAGCATTTGCTCATGGTTTTGGAGATATTAATGAAAACGTATAGAAGAGATATTTATTACAATATGAAACCATCTTCTAATGCCCGCTAATAGAAATGCAAGATGCTTGGGGAATGTTTAGAAACTCACCTCTGTACTCTTCAGCTTGTTCATTGAGCACGGGCAATTTAGGTTGGACGTTTTGTTGAAGATAAGCAGTGAGACCTGCACGCAGGTTAGAAACTGAGAACTGAGGAGTTTCGCTCTGAAGACCTTCTTGGGATTGGCAAGCAGGGGAGAGAGGTGAGCTCCGAGGAGCTTCTTGAAATTGGGAAGTAGAGAGAAATCCAGGGCTCCGACTTGAGTAACCTGACCAAAAAAGCCATACAATCTGATTAAGCGCTACAATATAATCTTTACTTTATAATTAGTTTTAATACTTGTATTGCGGCATCTCTATTCCCCCCTGATTATTAAAAAGCTTAGAAGAACTATGAAGGGCATATGTTAATCATAAAAATGAGTATCAATTTAGAAGCTATAGTAAGAATGTCTCCACACTAATAAGTTGATTAACTGGGTACCTAAATCATGAAAGACTAAATAAGATTAAAATAAAGCATATAATAAAAGTACGCTGTTTTAGAGCTGTGAATGCAATCTTTGCAGCACTCATCTCTGCTTGCTTCTTAGTTTTTGCTCCTTGTCCTGTAAAAATCTCTCCTTCTATCTCCACTTTTGAAATGAAAGTAGGCGCATGAGCTTCACCAGATCTGTCTGTCCAATAAGTTGGCAAACCACAACCTTCTCTCTGAGCCAGTTCTTGTAAAAGACTCTTATAGCCAAACCCATCCTAAAAAGAAAAACAATAAATTACATAAAGAAGAGTAATCATGTGTCTGAAAGATACAAGCATTAAAATCGCATTCGTAGCCATCATATTTTTGCATCTCCACAAATCTTAGAAAACTAACCTCCTCAACTCCATTTGACAATAATGACATCAATGCAGCTTTTGCAGCTGCAAGTTCAGCTTTATTCAATGTGGGAAAATATCCTTGACTCTCGTAGGTTTGTCCATTTACTGTGACCTTGCTCTTAAAGCGACTAGCATGACGAGGACCCACACGCTCACAAGAATACACAGGTGGAGTGAAATTTCTCTTTCGAGCATAGGTTTGCAGCTGGTTTTTAAACAAGTGCTGCATACCTGTAAGCCAGGAGCAAATTCAGATGAATGTGTCAGATAGTGACTTTTCATGAAAAACACAAAATAAACTGGAGCATTATTTAAGACACAAAATAAGGTGATTCAATATCAGGTTTCCATGGTCAGTAGATGCTGCCACCTTCAATCAGAATTCAGTTTCTCATTTGCTGCAATAACTTGGCAACCAACAGTGCGTTAAATATAAATGTCCCTCCTTTCCCCTTTTAGACTATACAATACAAACCTATAAGCTACCAAATGAATTAAATTACCCAATTACAAAACAATGATTTTGATTACAGGCAGCAGATTTCAACAGCCAAGCACAACAGAGTACAGAGAAAATACAATAACAATAATAAACAAAGAAAGGACTGATAGAACAATTGAAGTAGAAGTTCTTATGTTTTCCTCCATTCTATATTCCCAAAAAAAGTACTAAATGAGACACAAGGGAAATAGACAGAACAGAAGTTATCAGAGCAAGCTTAGTAGCATCTTAAAAGAGAAGTTATCTAGCTCTATTTGTTGAAATTTGGGCATGGGGAAGAGTCCATTCACCACAAGTATGGCCGGAAAGGAAGATTCATGATCTAACCCATCTTCAACAATCAAGAATTTTCATAAACTCTGTTAGATATGGCAGCTCAGCCATGTGGTTATGGTTATTATTTAGTTCCTTTCTTTTTTCTCATTTCAGTTCACTTCATTTCTACAAATTTTTTTAGTGCGTGATAGAATTTTTTAAAAAAGAAGAGTGAGAATTTTTTTAAAAAGAAGAGTTAAGTTTCACGTACAGAAATATTAGAAACATTCTAAGACTCCAATGTATGTCAAAGAAGGTCAATTCTCAAGATAATAAATCCTCACATTTAAAATTCAGATCCAAAGTACGAGCAAAAGGTCAGCCAGAAAGAGAACAGACTTGATGCGGAAAAGCATAATATAGAAAACCTAAGAAGGTAAGCATCAAACGACAAAAAAGCTACATCCATCGGAAGAAGATAACAATTTCCATCCCAAGAAAAGCCATAAAAGTCATAAACATTGCAAGAGTGAATTTCATAATGATTGTGAAAATTGTCTCCAAATGTTTTCAATAATCTCACAAAAAATTATACTATTTAACTATGATAATTTTTACAGATACATGAATAACATGCAAGAAAATAGTTAATCTAAAGATAACCAAGAAAATTTATTCCTAAAATAAAAACAAAGATGGACCCACACACGCAAGTAATTGAAGTTATACACAGATCTGTCAAATTTAAAAGATCAAGAAGAAAAACTGATTCCAACACTTTAACATATTTAACAAGACACACGAGTAATTGAAGATAAATATATAGATATCAAGCTATTTGTAAAGCTAAAATGCATACAGCGCAAACTAAGGGATTCCATCATTATTTTGTGCAGAAATTGTATAAAGGCAACATATTTGAGATTGTTACCTAAAATTTTCAAATCAAGAGTTAGAACCTTATTGTTCACGTATGAAGCAGTTGATTTTGGTTTAAAGTTAGTGAATGAATTAAAGTGGCTACAGAGAGAAGGTTAGTGTCAATGAGAGCCCATAGCATTTCCTTAAAAAAGATCCCATCAGAAAAATTGCATGGCAGCAGCACCAGGAAGACCATAAGAGGGGGAGCACTGATGATAATTAAGCTTAAGATACTGTATAAATAAACTGTTTTCATGCCTGCCAATTTTGAGAGGAAAACCTATTATTTCCATAACAAATGGTTGCTGTTCAGGAATGCAACCATGAGTATCAAGCACATCCAACTGACTCCACTCCAGCACTAAGTGTTGATTTTGTAAGGGAAAAAAAAAACTATACTATATTTGCTCTCACCTCCAAAAATCTCATCACTTTTGGCTTTTGCCACGGCTTCATTTGACAGGTGAGTTGGATTTGCATCTTGTAGGTTTAATTGCAATTTCCCTTCAGGACATAGACGAGTATTCTCCCCAGCGCTTCCACTGGAACAGCCTGCAGAAACTTCAGCATAACATCAGTTTCTTCCTTTCATGATGCAGTGTAAATAAGCATAGGCACCACTAGATTGATTTATCATAAAACGCTGCAAGATTACACACATCAATCAATCATTCTATTTACAAAAAATAAATAATTATAATAATCAAATGTTATTATGCAAGCATTCATTCTGAAACATACATTAATTAGAATGATGCAGTGTAAATAAGCATAGGCACCACTAGATTGATTTATCATAAAACGCTGCAAGATTACACACATCAATCAATCATTCTATTTACAAAAAATAAATAATTATAATAATCAAATGTTATTATGCAAGCATTCATTCTGAAACGAACATTAATTTACAAAGTAATTTCATTTCATTAAAACAATTACATCCATAGGAAGAAGATAACAATGTCCCATCCCAAGCAAAGCCAAACATTGCAAGAGTGAATTTCATAATTATTGTGAAAATTGTCTCTAAATTAGGTTTTCAATAATCTCACCAACAATTACACTCTTTAACTATGATAATTTTTACAGATACATGAATGACATGCAAGAAAATAGTTAATCTAAAAGAAAACCAAGAAAATTGATTCCAAAAATAAAAATACAGATGTACCCACACGCACAAGTAATTGAAGTTATACACAGATCTGTCAAATTTAAAAGATAAAGAAGAAAAATTGATTCCAAAACTTGACATATTTAATAAGACACACGAGTAATTGAAGCTATTTGTAAAGCAAAAATGCATACAACACAAACGAAGGGATTCTATCAATATGTTTTCAAGAAATTGTGTAAAGGCAGCATATTTGAGATTTTTACCTCAAGTTTTCAAATCAAGTGTTAGAACCTTATTGTTCACGTATGAAGCAGTTGATTTTGGTTTATATTTAGTGCATGAATTAAAGTGGCTACAAAGAGAAGGTTATTGTCAATGAGAGCCCATAGCATTTCCTTAAAAAAGATCCCATTAGAAAAATTGCAAGGCAGCAGCACCAGGAAGACCATAAGAGGGGGAGCACTGATGAAAATTAAGCTTAATACAACATTTTTTTTTTTAAAGGAGGTTGATTAATCTTTTGATGCCATAAAGACAACTGATTTAGCAAAAAAAATTCTAGATGCTGCGTATATAACCTCTTTTCATGCCTGTCAATTTAGAATGGAAAACCTATTATTTCCAAAACAATTGGCTGCTGTTTCTGAATGCAACCATTAGTATCAAGCACATCCAACTGGCTCCACTCCAGTACTAAGAAACGTTTAATGATTTTGTAAGGAAAAAATCAATACTAAATTTGCTCTTACCTTCAAAACTCTCATCATTTATGGCAACTGCCACAGCATCATTTGACAGGGGAGTTGGATTTGCAACTTGTAGGTTTAATTGCAATTTCCCTCCGGGAGATAGACAAGAATTCCCCCCAGCACTTCCACTTGAAAAACCTGCAGAAACTTTAGCATAACATCAGTTTCTACATTTCTTGATGCAGTGTAAGTAAGCATAGCCACCAATAGATTGATTTATCATAACAAGCTTCATGACTACAAGTATATTAACAAAAAAAATAAATTATAACAATCAAACGTTATTATGCAAGCATTCATTCTTAATCAAACATTAATTTACAAGGTAATTTCATTTCATTAAAATAATTACCCCAAAAAAGTCTTTATAATATCTGATACAGTGCAATTAAAGCACTAGGAAATATATATATATATATAAAACAGAAATGAAGCATTGCAAAGAAACAAAAGGAATTCAATTGCTAGAAAGAGGGGAGGAGGAATGGTGAGAAAGGAGGGAGAAGTGGTTATAGGCGAGCTTAGCAGTGTTGTTTTGAGCTTTCTTATAAGAAGAAGAAGAAGAGGGGAAAGGAGAGGAAAAGAGGACAGTATTGATGGTGACGGTGGAAAAAAAGAGAGGAATGTGATCTTGTTTCAGTTTAGTAACTTCATAGGTAGGGAACTCCCATCATATGATTCTGGTTTATAGTTAGTGAATGAATTAAAACGGCTGCACAGAGAAGGTTACTGACAATGAAGAGGAAACATGAAAGAAGAGAAACTGGGGAACAAAAACCTTGTTTCAAGTGGAGTGCTATTATGCTCCATTGCCAAACAGGCTATCAAACCCCAATATGACCATTTTTAGGACCCAATTACAGTTTATAATTTATTATGCACCTCACAAATATGGTTATAGCAATAAGTCAAATGTTTCCATAAAGTTTTGTTTAGAAAGTGATAGAGCATCACAGACACTTGTGGGTATCTGAAACCTGTGAGCTAGGCCATGTGTGGACTACAAGCACCATGGACCCAACCAGGATACCTGCGAATCCAGTGTCAGGCACTCATGTGTGTCCATAGCATTTCCTTAAAAAAGATCCCGTTTGAAAACTGCATGGCAGCAACTCTAGGAAGACCATAAGAGAGGGAGCACTGGTAAAATTAAGCTGACTATGAACAGTTTTTCTTTTTTTTCTTTTTTAAAGCAGGTTGGTTATGTAGGTTATCTTTTGACACCATAAAGACAACTGATTTAGCAAAAAAAATTCTAGATGCTGTGTATATAACCTGTTTTCATGCCTGTCAATTCAGAATGGAAAACCTATTATTTCCATAACAATTGGTTGGTTTTTTTGAATGCAACCATCAGCATCAAGCACATCCATCTGACTCCACCCCAGCACTAAGAAACGTTTAACGATTTTGTAAGGAAAAAATCAATACTAAATTTGCTCTCACCTTCAAAACTGTCATCATTTATGGCAACTGCTACGGCTTCATCTGACATGGGAGTTGGACTTGCATCTTGTAGGTTTAGTCGCAATTTCCCTCCAGGAGATAGACGAGTATTCCCCCCAGCACTTCCACTCGAACAGCCTACAGAAACTTCAGCATAACATCAGTTTCTTCATTTCATGATGCAGTGTAAATAAGCATAGGCACCACTAGATTGATTTATCATAAAAAGCTTCATGATTACACGCATCAATCAATCATTCTATTAACAAAACAGAAATAAATTATAATAATCAAACATTATCATGCAAGCATTCATTCTTAATCAAACATTAATTTACAAAGTAATTTCATTTCATTAAAATAATTAACCTAAAAAAGTCTTTAAAATATCTGATACAATTCAATTAAAGCAAAGGAAATATAAAAAATGGAAGAAATAAAGTGTTACAAAGAAACAAATGGGATTCAATTACCATAAAGGGCAGAAGAGAAGGAAGAAGTGGTTATAGGCGAGCTTAGCAGCATTGTTTTGAGTTTTCTTCCAGGAAGACGAGGGGGAATGAGAGGAAAAGAGGGCGGCGTTGATGGTGACGGTGGCAAAAAAGAGAGGGCTGTGATCTTGTCCCAGTTTAGTGACTTCACAGGTAGGGAACTCCCATCCTATGATTCTGATTTATAGTTAGTGAATGAATTAAAGCAGCTACAGAGAGAAGGTTATTGACAATGAAGAGGGAATATGCAAGACAAACTGGGGGAGAAAAATGTCGTTTCAAGTGTAGTGCCATCATGCTCCATTGCCAAACAGGCTATCAGACCCCAATATGACCGTTCTTTGGACCCAATTACTGTTTACAATTTATTACGCATCCCTCATATATGGTTAAAGCAATAAATGGGATGTTTCCATAAAGTTTTGTATAGAATAAGAGAGAGCATCACGGACACTTGTGGGTATCCGAAACCTGTGACCTAGGCTATGTGTTGACTACAAGCACCATGGAGCCCGCCAGGCTATCTGCGAATCAGGAGCTGGGACACTCATGTGTGCCCATAGCATTTCCTTAAAAAAGATCCCATTAGAAAAATTGCATGGCAGCTGCACCAGGAAGACCATAAGAGAAGGAGCATTGGTAAAAATTAAGCTGACTACGAACAATTTCTTTTTCTTTTTCTAAGCAAGTTGGTTATGTACGTTATCTTTTGACACCATAAAGACAACTGATTTAACAAAAAAAATTCTAGATGCTGTGTATATAACCACTTTTCATGCCTGTCAATTTAGAATGGAAAACCTATTATTTCCAAAACAATTGGCTGCTGTTTTTGAATGCAACCATCAGTATCAAGCACATTCAACTGACTCCAATCTAGCAATAAGAAACGTTCAATGATTTTGTAAGGAAAAAATCAATACTAAATTTGCTCTTACCTTCAAAACTCTCATCATTTATGGGAATTTCCACGGCTTCATTTGACAGGGGAGTTGGATTTGCATCTGGTAGATTTAGTTGCAATTTCCCTCCAGGAGAAAGACGAGTATCCCCCCTAGCGCTTCCATGCAAACAGCCTACAGAAACTTCAGCATAACATCAGTTTCTTAATTTCTTGATGCGGTGTAAATGGTATAAAGTGTAGGCACCACTAGAATGATTTATCATAAAAAGCTTTATGATTACAGGCATCATTCAATACATTCTATTAACAATCAAACACTATTATGCAAGCATTCATTCTTAATCAAACATTAATTTACAAAGTAATTTCATTTCATTAAAATAAGTAACCTAAAAAAGTCTTTAAAATATCTGATACAACGCAATTAAAGCACAAGGAAATATAAAAAAGAGAAGAAATGAAGCGTTACAAAGAAACAAATGGGATTCAATTACCATAAAGGGCGGGAGAGGAGGGAGAAGTGGTTATAGGCAAGCTTAGCAGCGTTGTTTTGAGCTCTCTTACAGGAAGAAGAGGGGAAAGGAGAGGAAAATAGGGCGGCGTTGATGGTGACGGTGGCAAAAAAGAGAGGGCTGTGATCTTGTCCCAGTTTAGTGACTTCACAGGTAGGGAACTCCCATCCTATGATTCTGGTTTATAATTAGTGAATGAATTAAAACGGCTACACAGAGAAGGTTACTGACAATGAAGAGGAAACATGAAAGAAGAGAAACTGGGGAACAAAAGCCTTGTTTCAAGTGGAGTGCTATGATGCTCCATTGCCAAACAGGCTATCAAACCCCAATATGACCATCTTTTGGACCCAATTACAGTTTATAATTTATTATGCACCCCACATACATGTTTATAGCAATAAATGGAATGTTTCCATAAAGTTTTGTTTAGAAAGTGAGAGAGCATCACAGAAACTTGTAGGTATCTGAAACCTGGGAGCCAGGCTATATGTGGACTACAAGCACCATGGCCCAACCAGGATATCTGCAAATCAGGTGTTAGGCACTCGTGTGTCCATAGCATTTCCTTAAAAAAGATCCTGTTTGAAAAATGCATGGCAGCAGCGCTAGGAAGACTATAAGAGAGAGAGCACTGGTTAAAATTAAGCTGAATACGAAATTTTTTTTTTTTATGCAGGGCAGTTATCTAGGTTATCTTTTGACACCATAAAGACAACTGATTTAGCAAAAAAAATTCTAGATGCTGTGTATATAACCTGTTTTCATGCCTGTCAATTTAAAAAAAAATTTTATGCAGGGCAGTTATCTAGGTTATCTTTTGACACCATAAAGACAACTGATTTAGCAAAAAAAATTCTAGATGCTGTGTATATAACCTGTTTTCATGCCTGTCAATTTAGAATGGAAAACCTATTATTTCCATAACAATTGGTTGGTGTTTTTGAATGCAACCATCAGTATCAAGCACATCCAACTGACTCCACTCGAGCACTAAGAAATGTTTAATGATTTTGTAAGGAAAAAATCAATACTAAATTTGCTCTTACCTTCAAAACTCTCATCATTTATGGCAACTGCCACGGCTTCATTTGAAAGGGGAGTTGGACTTGCATCTTGTAAGTTTAGTTGCAATTTCCCTCTGGGAGATAGACGAGTATTCGCCCCAGCACTTCCACTCGGGCAACCTACAGAAACTTCAGCATAACATCAGTTTCTTCATTTCTTGATGCAGTGTAAATAAGCGTAGGCACCACTAGAATGATTTATCATAAAAAGCTTTATGATTACAGGCATCATTCAATACATTCTATTAACAATCAAACACTATTATGCAAGCATTCATTCTTAATCAAACATTAATTTACAAAGTAATTTCATTTCATTAAAATAAGTAACCTAAAAAAGTCTTTAAAATATCTGATACAACGCAATTAAAGCACAAGGAAATATAAAAAAGAGAAGAAATGAAGCATTACAAAGAAACAAATGGGATTCAATTACCATAAAGGGCGGGAGAGGAGGGAGAAGTGGTTATAGGCAAGCTTAGCAGCGTTGTTTTGAGCTCTCTTACAGGAAGAAGAGGGGAAAGGAGAGGAAAATAGGGCGGCGTTGATGGTGACGGTGGCAAAAAAGAGAGGGCTGTGATCTTGTCCTAGTTTAGTGCTTTACAGGTAGTGAACTCCCATCCTATGATTCTAGTTTATAGTTAGTGAATGAATTAAAGCAGCTACAGAGAGAAGGTTATTGACAATGAAGAGGGAATATGCAAGACAAACTGGGGGAGAAAAATGTCGTTTCAAGTGTAGTGCCATCATGCTCCATTGCCAAACAG